CTTTGCGTTGCTATGCTTTGTGATGCAGTTCTTTACTACGCAATTCCACGCAACGTTATGACATGCTATGCTCTGCCGTGCTCTTCTACGCCATGCGTTTCCATCCATCGCGTACCCGATTGTTCGAATAGATAGGAGGTCTACACCATTGTAAGGGATGGGAGGAAGGGGTAGGAAGTCAGATGTGACGCTGGCGCACCTAGCTTGACCCCACCCCCTCTCCCTCCTACCTTCCACTCGCAACTCTCTGCCCTCTGCGCTCTTCTCTAGCCCTTCCGCTCTCCACTCGTTGCTCTCTGGTGCTTGCTCTCTGATCTTTACCCTCTGCTCTACACATTCTTCCTGTGCTCTCGAGGCCCCCAGACCTGGCCAGAATCAGGAACCCAGAAGCCTGGGAGCCAGAACTTGGACTTTGGGATCCCGGCCGCCCACCGACACCGGCGTTTTTTTCTTGAGCCAGACATTCGCAACAATCATCTTCACAACATTTGCGAGGATGGCCGGGAATAGGGAACTGCGCAGGCACAGGGGCGGATCTAGGAGCCGTGGTGGTTTCACTCGCACCCCAGGTCGATCCTGAAGCAGACGCGCTCATGGTCTTTGCCATTCTCATCGCCCAGAGCGAGCTGACGGATCTCCCAGGGCTTTGGGAGGGATAACGTGGGCTTCATCGTCTCTCGTTATCCGTCTTCTTAGTCGTCTCTCTCCGTTGGACTTCTTCTCCGTCTTCTCTGTCGTCTCTCTTCTCATCCTCGATCCCTGTCCACCCTCAGCCGCGCCCTCACTCCCTTATCACGGTCCGCCCTCAGCCTCGGCCTCATTCTCAATCACTCCTCATTTCTCAACACTCATCCTCTACCTGACGTGTCCCCGTCAGCTCTCACACTCAACCTCAACCCTCAATATGCCTCCTCCACCTTCAAGCTCATCTTGACGGTACTCACGTCTGCATCTCGGTAATGAGGACGAGGAGGAGGAGGAGGAGGACGGAGAAGGAGGCGGGAGAGGAGAAAGGGAAGAGTGGGGGAGAGGGGAAGGGGGGGAGAGGGGCGCTCCCCGAACCCATAGCCACTGATCCCGCCATAACCAATAGTTCGGATATGTGGGACTTGGCAATGACGAGTTCTGACGCTTCGCGTATCCTTACCAGCCCGACTCGAGACGCCGCTGGCGCCTTCGCCTGCGGTTGCGACAAAAAACAATCCTTACCAGCCCTTGCTTGCTCGGCGTCCGACTCGTTTCGTGCGCCCGCGGACCAACAATATCCTTAGCAGCCCATCCAGAAACGATGCCCTGGGGATTTGTCTGGAGGAGGGGCGCGGGTAAGTTTTTGTGAAGCAGTGAAGCCAACACTGATGGACACAAGAAGTGTAACAACACGCAGTGGAACATCCGCCAAACATTACCTATGGACAATTTGTCTCTGTCGACGATGCACAGCACACCTACGCCATCCAGACTTGATGATTCTCAGGCGATGCGTCTGAGACGGCTCGTGGGGGTCTCCTGGGCTCATCTTGGGAGGAGGCGGGTGAGGACGGAGGAGGAGGGATGAGGAGAACTGCTAGGAGGCGGCGAAGGAGGAGGAGGAGGTGGAAGCGGAGGCTTTCTCGGACCTTCAGCAACGAGGTCATATTGATATCGTTTGGGGGTCTTCTTGGAGCTTTCTTGGTGTCTTCTTGGGTGCCTCTTGGGCTCCTCTTGTGGCGCTCTTGATGTTTGTTCTGCAAGTATAAGGGACCCTCTTGAGGCTCCTTTGAGCGGTCTTGGAGCCTTGTTGGGACGACCTTGGGCACCAGATCTCAAACAACGGGAATGGTACTTCGGGTCCTCGCCATTCCGAGGTTCAACAATTACTTTTGAGGCCCTCTTGGAAAGCTCTTGGGCGCTTCCTGGGGCCATCTTTGGGCTCTCTTGTGCTCTTCTTGGGGCTATCTTGGGGCATCTTGAGGCCTCAGAAGCCCATTAATTGCTTCTGCGGTTTTGAAGGAGTTCGGCCTCTCGTGGGATGTGCCTTGGCAGAGTCGAAGGGCACTTGGTGCTGTCTTGCAGGTATGTTGGAGACTAGCTTGGGCCATGTTGAAGTGTCTTGAGCCATCTTGGAGCCATCTTTGTGCCATCTTGACCGCTCCAATGGTTTCGTCCCCTCCGCCGTCCAGACCCAGGGGGAGGGAATAGGTAGTAGTGAAGATCCCCTCCCCGAATAGGGGAATAGGGAAGAGGGAAGTTAGAAGAGGAAGTGCTCTTGACCACGTGACCCCAGAGGGCTGGTGGGACTCCCCCCTCCACCTCCTCCCCAGTCTACCCAAGCTAACCGTGAACAGACTGGGAAGAGTAGGAGGGCACTCTCAGCAGATATCGCAGAGCGAGCACCGCAGTGTGGTGTTTGACGACACTCATGGCCGAGGTCGGGAGGGATTGGTGCTCCAGCACCAGGCCCTGAGAGAGGCTTGGCCAGAGCCCAGTGGCGGCGTACAGCTTCCTGCTTCTAGCTGGGTGCCAAGCGCCGTACACTCTGCCTGGCTCCCCGCTTCCCCATGCTTCTCCTCGTCTCCTTTCTCTTTCTTGGACCTACTGAATGCCGCCAACGAGCTCCCCCTCAGATCGGAGGAAAGCAAAACGACACCACCACCACCACCACCACCACCACCACCATCACCACCACCACCACCACCACCAGGGGTTCACCTCTAGCGAGGAGGTCCACGATGCCTCCCCGAGCCTGGGATGGGGCAACTATGCTTCGAGCGGGGAGGAGGGACCCCACCGGACCCCCCCCTGGCTGCTCGCGCTGGCGGTGGTGGTGTCGCTTGTCCTTCCTTCCCGCCCTCAGAAAACCGAAAAAGGCGCTGAAACCCATCAGCTCCTCCGTCCCCAGACCCCCGACGTCATGTTGTTTTCACAACGTGGACCCCGGATGCTCGACCCATTCCCTGGGACCGGGCTTTCCATCCCGAGTCGTTTGGTGACAGTCCTGGGACCTGGCAAGGCTCCCCCAGAGGCCGAAGCCAGTCGAAAACTGTCCCTCGTGATCTTGTCGACGCTGGGGGGGCCCAGGCTTCCCTCTTGCAAACCCTGCCCCGCAGGACTGGGACGAGTCCAGGGCGCAGGCGGCCAAGTCGCCAAGACGTCCAGCGGCGTGAGGGGCACGCGGCGAAAAGAGAGTGTGGCGAGCGGCTGCGGCGACGGTGGGAACGAGACGAGGGACCACACGACTCGGCGGGGCGCCCACGGGTGGAAGGGGGGGAAAACCAGAAGGGGGCGGGCCTTCTTCTCAGGAGGCTCCGGATGCCTCCGACCTTCTTGAGAGGCTCTCTAATTTTTCTCCCGAGACACAGAGGGCAGCTCAGAAGGCGGGAGGGCTGCCGAGAAGCCCGCCGCCTTCTGAGGAGGTTTGCCCCCTTTGACTTCCCCCCGGGGCGCGTCGCCGAATTACGACATGTTCGTTTCGTTTCGACGCGGCGACGACCCGAGCGTGGGCGTGGAGCGTGGGCTGGGACCGGCCGGTATCGGACCATCGTGTGCGATCGGAAAGTTGCGACCGTTCAAGGTCGAACGATCCGCGCGGTATCAGAGACCAGCGCACAAGTCGTTTGGGCACGAACCCTCTGCGATGCGACCAATAAGACGGTGCCCAGGGGCATCGCAGCGCCCCGCTGAGAAGTGGACGATCAAAAGTGCATTCCCGATTCGTCGCTGTCGTCGTCGTCGTCGTCGTCGTCGTCGTGGTCGTGGTCGTCGTCGTCGTCGTCGTCGTCGTCGTCGTCGTCGTCGTCGTCATGTCAAGGCCACCAGGCCGCAGCCAGGGACCCAAACGAGAGATACGATTTTTCCCAGATTGCGTTTCGCTCGAGTGTTCTGGCAGAGTTTGACGATTCCCTCTCCCGAGGATCTCCGTAGGGGGGGCTGGGGGGAGGCGTCTCCCAGCAGCGCTCCGTGTGGTGTTCTGGCTCGATCTCGTCCAGATCTGCGACTCACGATGGTGTTCTGGCGGCCTGGAAGCTGCCGGCAGCGCTCCCTGTGGCGTTCTGGCTCGATCTCGGCCCTGACATGCAATTCTCCGTGGCGTTCTGGCTCGATGGCGGCCCTCCCAGGTCCAGAAATGCGACTCACTCTCTGGTGTTCTGGCTCGACTTGGTCCAGAAACGGGCCATCCATGGTGTTCTCGCTCGATTGCAGCCCTCCCAGATCCAGAAATGAGAATCACTCTGGTGGTCTGGCTCGGTGTGGTCCGGAAATGAAGCTCACTATTGCGTTCTGGTTCGATTTCGGTTCAAAGAGTCCTCGCGCCAGAATCTCCACAGTGGGCCTGGGTGCTCTGGTTTTCGTTGATCCAGAAGTGAGACTCACTCTGGTGCTCTGGCAGAGCCGCCGAGGCGTTTTCCCTCTGTGCCCATAGATTGCCCTTCTCTCGTGGCTCGAATCCGATGTGTTTTACGTGGGTGCCTGTAGATTGCCCCCCTCTCCACTGGCTCGAATACCACGTGTTATACGTATGTGCCTGTAGATTGCCTCCCCTGGGGCTGGGATCCAGTGTGTTTTACGTGTGCGCCCATGGATTGCCTTTTTCTCTGTAGCTTGAGTATGTTTTGTGGTTTGCGTCTGAGCATTTCGATCTGCCTTTTTTGTGGTTCCAATCCTACGTGTGTTACGCGTGTGCCTACACATTGCCCCATCCTGTGGTTCAAACCCTATATTTTACTCATGTGCCTGTGACTCGAATCATGTGCGTTTTCCGTATGTGCCTATTAGATTGCCCTTTATTTGTGGCTCGAATCCTATGTGTGTGTTTACGTACGTGTCTATACATTGCTTTTCTTTTGCGGTTCGAATCCTGTACCTACGTATGTGCCTATATATTGCTCTGCTCTTGTGGCTCGTATCCTTTTCGTGTGTTTGCGTATGTGCCTACATTTTGCCCCCCTCTTATGGCTCGAGTCCTATGCGTCTTCCCAGGCCTCTCCAGGCCCCAGGACGGAACGTCAGAAGTTTATTTGTATCCGGTGTCGATTCGTTGTTTTTGGCCTCCGGGCTTACCGAGGCCTCAACCCCGTCTCCTGTGGCTCGAATTCTGTGTGTTTACGCATGTGCCTATAGATGGACCCTGTCCTGCGGCTCGAATCCCATGGTCTTTGCGTCGGTGCCTAAAGGTTTGCCCCCTCTTGTGGGTCGAAGCCTATGTGTTATACGTATGTGCCTACAGACTGCCCCTCGCTTGTGGTTCGAATCCCACCTGTGTTTACGTATGTGTCTGCAGATTGCGCTTCTCTTGCGGTTCGATGTTTTTTTTTTTTTTCTGTTTGCGTATGTGCCTATAGTTTGCCTTTTTCCTGTGGTTCGAATCCTATGTGTTTTACGCGTGTGCCTATGTGTTATCCGTTTCCTATTGCTCGAATAATTTGCGTTTGCAGATGTTCCAACATGCTGCCCCTCTCCTGGCTCTCGAGCCCGAGTGTTTTACGTATGTGCCTATGGATTGTCCTGCCTTTGTGGCTCGAATACATTCTGTGTTCCACTCATTTGCCTGTAGACTGCCCGCCGCCAAGGGGTCGGCCTTCGGGTGTTTTCCGCGCGTGCCTATAGATTGCCCCTCCCTGGTACTATCCGTAGCCATTTTGGCCTCACTGAGCCCTGGCTCTCGATTCAACGACTCCAGCCCGCCATGCCGCCCAAACTTTCGGGAGCATCGATCGATGACCGCTTGGCTGCTCTACTCCATTACGTCCGTGATTACCTTGCTAATCACCAGGATGAGACTGGCAGGTGCGTCACGGAGGTGTTCGACGGCATCACCTACAGGTGCGGCGCTGACTTGCGCATCCCGCGCAGTGCCATCATACAGCATGCAAAGTCAAGCAATCAGCCGTTCACCTCTTCGAGTGCGTTGTTGCTCAGCCTGTCGCGCCCGTGCTCTCGCAACAACGGTGCCGCTCAGCTTGTTGCGCCCGCGCGTCCACGACGACGTTGCGCCTGCGACCCACGGCGCTGCCCAGCCCGCGGCGCGCGTCGCATTCCGCGAATGCCGAACGATGGGGGCATTCGTCATCGTAGCCCGCGCTCGCCTGCCCAGCGCGGCCGCGGAGTCGTTCCGCCCCTCCCGGCGCGGGAGGAGACCAAACGCCTCCGCGACCCGCGCGGCTTAGCGTCGTCGTTGCGGCCACTGCGAGCAACGTCGCCATCGTCGTTCGCGCGCGCGGGACATCTGGAAAGCTGGGAGCCTTAGCCGCTTTTCGAGCACTTCGCCGCAGCAGTCTCGATCGCTTCTGCCCGATGCATTTTCCAGCGTTCGGTGGCGTCGCTCAGCCCCCCGCGAGCGCGCGCGCGCCCCTGTCCGCGCTGTTGGCATCGCCTCGTCTGAGCGTCCATCGCAAGCCCCCCCCCCTTGTTTTCCGAGGGCGCATCCCAGGGGCTGTCGTCGGCGCGGAGCTCGCCAATCACTCCCACTGCTCGGGGCGAGCCAGAGGTCGGGCGTGGCGGGGGGCGTGGGGCGCAGGGGGGGGGGGCGGGGGGGGTGAGGAGGAGGGGGGTGGTGGAGCGAGGAGCAGGAAGGGATGCGGGGGAGAAGAGGACGAGGACGAGGAGAGGGGCGAGGAAGAGTGGGAGGAGGAGGAGGAGGAGGAGGGAGAGAGGAGGAGGAGGAGGAGGAGGAGGAGGAGGAAGAGGAGGAGGAGGAGGAGGAGGGGTGGGAGGAGGAGGAGGGCAAAGGGGGGAGGTTTTTCGTTCCAGGAATGGTAGGGTGAAGTGAGAGCCACTGGAAAGGAAGGGGGGAGGGGGAGGAGGAGGAAAACGAGGAGGAATAAAGGAAGGATTTGCAGGAGGACCACTGCAACCCGAAGACGCACCAACGACGTCGCACTGAACCCTCCGTCCCAGCTCACTCGTCATAGGTCCCCGCAATAATTTCACTGCGTTGCGGGAAGCGTTGGGTTTGAACGCCTCCGCCTGACAGTCGCCAGCCGTGCCAAAACATCTCCGTTTGGGCTTCAACGCCGCAAACCAACGCGATTGTTGCATCCTGAAGCGTCCCAAATCTCTGCAAATTTGTAGGACGAGCGCGCGTAGCGCGCAGGCGGGAGCCACGTTGTGCAAACAAATCGCCGTCGATCCGTGAAACTGCTGCGAACGTTTGAGTCGATCGCGCGCGGCGTTGAGGCGAGAACGTCATGTTGAAGAGGACCTGCCTTCCGCCCGTGAAGCTGGTACAATGATTGAAGACGAGTGTGCGCGGCGGTGGGGCGATAACTACATTTTGAAAAGGACCCGCCCTCCATCAAACCTGCGGTGACTTTGAAATTTCGGGGTCGGAAGTGGTCAGGAAGTCTCAGGTGAAACGACCGGCCCGCCTTGACGACGCTTCTAGGGTCTACGGGTGCGACATGAAAGTGTTTCTTGTAGGGACAGCGAATCAGAAGAGGAGGAAGAGGTGGAGGACGAACTCAGGGCCCTCGAGATTTTCAGGACTCTTGCAATGCGACGTTGTCGGTGAGCTCGCCCCACGGCGCGGCCGTCCGCACTCCCTCACCATTGCGCGACCTCCCGCGTGCGCGCGAATCCGTCGAGCAACGCCGTGGGGTCCCCGCTGACCCGAAGGCGCGCCGCGCCGTGCATGGTGCTCCGCGCAGACCGCGTGTGCCTCCGACGGCGCTGCGTGCAACTAGAGTTCCGGCGAGCAGATTTAATTGCATTGTTTCCGTGGGGTGGGGGGGGCGTCGGCATTGTAGATCGGCCTATGATTTCCCTCCCGCGCTGACATCAAGACTTGCCCACTGTCGCCGCCCGCGGCGCCCCCGAAGAAACACTCTTGCAGTTCCAGCAAGCTGATCGCTGCCGTATGTATGCAAACTGCATAGCATGCACCAGGCTTCTCATCGCGCGGCCGATCGTTCCTGCGCGGCGACCCCAGCCCCCGAGCCCGCGCGCGCTCCGCGCGGCCCCCACGCGAAGGCTCCCGCGCGAGCAGAGCGCGAGCCCCGCGCCGGCCGCGCGCGAGCTGCGCGCGAGCCCTCTTCGATTTTCGCGCGAGCCCCGCGCCAGCTTGGCAGAGCCGGTCCCGAAGTTCGCCGGCGGGCTCGTGCGGAGCACGCGCCGGCGCCCGCGCGAGGCAGAAATAGTTCCGGGGCCCGCCGCGGACGCCGCGCGAGATGTCACGCGAGACCCACGCAGACCCCGCGAGGGCCTCCCACGAGACCCCGTGAAGCAAGCGCGAGCCCCGCGCGAAGTCCAGTCGCGCCCCGCGCGGGATTGGCGGGGTTCGCGCGGGGCTGACGAGCGGGGGGGGGGCAGGGCGGCGTTTAGATGGTTCACTACTGGTTTTCCTTCGCTTGCCAACAAAATGTTGTAGACGACGCAATTTTGCTTGTTGGGCAAACCCAGGGCTGTCGACTGGTAGCCAATATTTGTTGCCTCCCGGTTTGCAGAGCTTCGGCGGCGAAGCTCCCCGTGGTTTTCGATGGGTTCGCACGCGGTCCCGCGGGGCCCATCCAGGGTTTCGTTGGGCCCGTCGTGCGGTCGTGTAGGACAGCGCCCCGCGCTTTTAGCCGGCCCTGGAAACGACAGGGCCGTTTTCTTCACCGTTTCCGAACAGTGTTTCTTGAACATGGACATATTGTGCTCGTATTGTCAGTATCATTATTAGTCGTGTTATATGTGTGAGTTGTTATAATTTTGATCGTGCCATGATTATAATATCATGATCATTATTATGACTTGTATTTACCCTTATGAATATGAGTATTATTGTTGCGAGTACTGTTAGTACTAGTGGTATTGCTATTCATATTCGTCTTATTATTGTGATGATCATTTTTAGAATTTGAAAGCCGGCAGCCAGAAACGGCAACAAAACAGTTCGGGAATTGAAGTCCGAGCCAGAACCGGAAAAAAACGGCGACGGGACCGGCAAACAAATGGCGACGGAATTGGCAAACAAATTGCAAAACGGAATTGGTAAAACAACGGCCCTGTCGTCTCTAGGGCCCATTAAGCCCGCGCCCGCGCTCGCGCGGGGGTGCGCATGGTTCACGCGGGACCGCGGGGCTTGGGCTTGGCTCGTTCGGGGCATAGGTGGGCTGGCCGAAGCAGGTGGCCTGTCAATGGAGGTGTACATAGGCGTAACTCCAGTCCTCCTACGGGCAAGTTCTGCCGTTCCTCGCGCAGCTGCGGGGGGTGGCGGGGTTTTGGATGCATCGTGGAGTTGGCTGAACCACAAGGTGCTTCACGGATTCCCATGGTGTTCCACAGTACGGATGGTGTGAGTAATCGCGCGCTGGACAGAGGCGTCAGAACGCCAACTGACCTTTGGGGAGGCCATGTTGCCGTTCACTGGCGGCATTCCAGGCAGGCCGCAGTGCTGTTCCCCCACCGCGTCGTATGTCGAACGGTGTCCCCCCTTTCGTCCTCTCGCTCTTCTCTTCATCCCCACGGATGTTTCGTATTGCTGCCGGCGTCTGCTTGCTCCGCGGCACCCGCATCAACGCGGCAGCAATCTTTGGCTTCATTGGCAATGCAGATGAGCTTGTCGACGGGCCCGCTCGCAGATAGCAGTGGCACCGCTTTGGTGCGCAGCGTCATGGTGTTCATTGCATTGGTTATTTTATGTTCGTGGGCGTTCGTGTGTTCGTGCCACACCTTGGGCAGAGTGCGCATGCACCCGTATTTGTTTTCAAAGAGTCGATGCCGCGTGTTGTTTCAGTCTGTTCGAAAAGCCCCATATCACGCAGATCACAGCAAGCATTCGATGTTTCCTGGGTGTTCTGTTGCGGCGGAATCAAGCCCTCTCCTTCTCACCATCCTCCTACCCTCCTCCCTCTTTCCGCATCCTTTCTTTCTCCCCATCAGCAGCATCACCAGCATCACCAGCATCATACCATCATCAGCATCATCATCACCATCATCACCATCATCACCATCATAATCATACACAGCATCAGCATCTCATCATAATCGACATCAACATCTGCATCATCCGCAGCAACATTAACATCATAATCAGCACCCGCACCATCCTCGTCGGCAGCATCATAAGTTGCATCGCCATCATTCGTATCCTCGTCATCAGCAACATCATCTTCATTATCCTCATCAGCACCTTCATCAGCATCACCGTCATCATCAGCATCATTATCAGCATGCTCACCCGCATCATCCTGATCAGCAGCATCCTGATCATCAGCATCATAAGCATTCTTCATCATCATCATCAGCAGCATCATCATCATCATCATCATCATCATCATCATCATTAGCATCAGCATCGTCACTAGCATATTCAGCATCATCAGCAGCAGCACCATGACCCGCTGCCTAATATACATAATCATCAGCATCACCAACATCATCGACACCATCATCATTACCATCATCTTCATCACCACCATCATCACCATCATCCTAATAATCATCATCGTCAACATCAGTAGCACTGACAACATCAGTGATACCATCGGCATCGACACCAGTTGCATCACCATCTCCATCATCCATCATCATCAGCATCACCACCATCGTCATCAGCATCATCATACTTAGCAGCATCTCCACCATCGGCATCATCACCATCATCAGCATCACCATCATCATCCTTAGCATTACCAGTATCGTTATTGCTATCGTTATCATTCGCACTCCCATTATCATTATCAGTATCATTCTCAGTATTCCAAAGGATCATTACCATCGGCAGCGATATGTGCCACCCCACCCCGCGCGCGAGGCCCCAACGTGATGTGCACGTTCTCACCAGGCGCCCGGAGCCGTGGGTTTTTTCGGCCGAGGCCAGGCACAGGGCGCACCAGCGCACGATTCGGGGGAGGGCGAGGGGGAGGGGAGGGAAAGGCAGGCCGAGAGGGACAGGAGCAGGGAGGCGGAGTTGAGAGGGAAGGACCCGGCGGGACGGGTGGGGAGGGGGGGGGGGAGCGGGAAGGTGTAAGAGGAGTGGAAGGGGGGGGGAAGAGCGGAAGGTTGAGAAGGGGAAGGAATGGAGGGAGAGGCGAGGGGGAGGGGGGCGAGGGAGAGGAAAGGGAGGAGGGGAACGCAAATGAAGGGGGCTGGACGGGAGAGGGATGGAGGGAGAAGGGGGGGGGAAGAGAAGGCGGAGGGGAAAGGCGGGGAAGGGTGGGCAAGGAAGGGGGGAGTGGGGTGGGGCGAGAGGCGAGGAGAACGGGAGGGGACCATAGCAGATTGGGCGGGGGGAGACATTGGAACTCTCTTGTTTCAGCTGTAGAGGGAGCTTATTATGGGGTGCGGTCCGCGTTGAGGGGAGACCTCCTTGGATGGCCTCGGCGAGGCCGAGATTTGTGTGTGTGTGTTGTGTGTGCTGTGTGTTGTGTGTTGTGTGTTGTGTGCTTGTGTGCTTGTGTGCTTGTGTGTTTGTGTTTGTGTTTGTGTGCTTCTGTGCGTGCCAACACGGGCAAGGGTGGGCGGGCGCAGAGGAACGATCTCGCTGACGCTCTCTTGTTCGAGACCCCAGGGGGGGCGGTCGGTCTGAGGGGTGTGTCGACATGGGCGCAGGCCCGCATGGAAAAACGCGCCCTCTGGGGCCAGAGATGGAGCTCCCTGTGGGGCACGATCCGCGTGACGGGTTGAGTCGAAATGGGTGGCGGCCCGCGCGTGATCGCGCCCTCGGGGGCTGGAGGTGAAGCTGCCCCTTGGGCACGGCCTGGCCTGCCTGAGGGGAACTGCCGAAGGGGAGCTCCCCCTGACCGTGGCCGCCCTGCCTCTCCCCCTCCTCTCTCTTGCAGTGCTTAGCTCGCCGCCCAGCGCCCCTGGGGCTGCTCGGCCGACCTGCGCGCTCGCCGGGCCCGCGGCAAGAGTGTGTCGAGAGGGGCGTGCGGCAGGGCAGCCAGCAGCCGACAGCGACAGCGGCGGGGGCAGGGCGGTCGCGGCGGCGTTCAGGCATGCAGCAGGCAGCGCGCTGGCAGTGGGGAGGGGTATGATATTCTAAGCCTCCCAGATGGGGTCAGAGTAGATGGGGTCGGAGGATCGCGCCGCATCGCCGATGCATCGGCGATGCGGCTCGATGCGGAGACCGTGTTTTCCCATGCCGACGTCGCCGATGCATCGCCGACGTCGCCGATGCATCGCCGATGCATCGCCGATACATCGGCGATGCATTGGCGATGCGGCGCGATCCGTCGACCCCATCTACTCGGACCCCATCTAGGAGGCCTATAGATATGGCAGGGCCCAGAGGAGCGTCGAGCTCGCACAAATGTCTGCCGCCTACTCGGTGTCAGTCAGTATCGCTTAATTACACGATCCCCATCGCCATCGCCATCGCCTTCCCGGTCCCCACCATCCCTCCACCCGAATTGGGAATGCCCCTCGAAACCCAAAGGGAACAGCCGATATCCCCATCCAGGGGGGGTCAATCGGCCAGTGGGGCCAGGCCACGCCGGTGGGGAAAGGGATCTGTTAAGCCATGTTCAGCAAGTACCCTGCGGCATTCGAGTGCGAGCTTGCGCGCGAGCGGCCGGCAGCGCTTCACCGGAGGGCCCAGCATCACGGGAGAGCTGGGAACAAGCAGTGCGGACAAAAGCGCGAAGGGGAGGAGGCGAGGGGAGGGGAGGAGGGGCGTGGGGCAGGCGAGGGCGGGACTTTCCGGGGTCTGAGAGTTCAAAGCGCGGGGCGTTCCAGCGGGGGGGGTCGCTCTGGAAGTCGCGAGCGTTAGCGACGGGGGGCCCAGACGGTTAGTGCCGATTGTGCCTCGCCCTTCTTTCCTCCCCTTCTCTTTTTGCTCTCGAGGGAGGAGGAGCTCTCCTGACTTTCACAGCTTGCGTTTGCTGAGCCATCCTGGGCTCCTTCTCTGGGCGCGTGTCCTGCAGGGCCTGAGGCCCGTTGCAGTCCTCACCCGGCCCACTTGCGCTGCAGATGACACGCTCATGTTGTGCAGCGGCGTCGACACGCATTTGTCGCAGTTCGAGGCCAGTTCGGCAGCGATTGCGTAATGGAGGAGATGCGGAGGGAGCAAGAGAGGCGGGGGTGGGCAGGATGGGGAGGGAGGAAGGCAAGGAGGGAAAACAAGTAGACGTAGTAGCATGCAAGTCAGGAGGAGGAGGAGGAGGAGGAGGAGGAGGAGGAGGAGGATGAGGAGGAGGAGGAGGGGGAGGGGGAGGGAAGGGAAGGGGGAGGAGGTGGAGGAGGAAGAGAATAATGATGATGATGATGATGAGGAGGAGGAGGAGGAGGAGGAGGAGGAGGAGGAGGAGCAGGAGGAGCAGAAGGGAGAGCAAGAGCTGGATAAGGAGGAGGAGGAAGAGGAGGAGCAAAACGGACAACATGTAGGAAGATTAGGGGGAGGTATAGTGAGGACGAGAAGGGAGACGGGGGAGGGGGAGACGAAAGGAGAGCCTGGGGCAGCGGGGAGGTCTGCAAACATAGTCTTGACTAGAGGTCTCGAGGAAACCCCTGCGGCTGCGACGAGGCCCCCCCCCCCCAGAGGTCCACAAGAAGTGGCGAGCAGCGCCAGGACAAGCCTCGACCCTCTGCGGTCGAACCTCGTTTGCTCGCCTCACTTTCCCCCTGTCGCTCGAGACGCGCCCGGCGCGCCGCGCTCGTCAGGCGCGACGCTCGACGCCCGCGCTCCGCCCTGCCTCGGCGGTGATACCCGAGCCCGACCCTTACCGATCAACGATCCGGGCAGCCCGATGGGCGCCGGGGTAACAGTCGGCCCGGATTGGTAGGGCGACCCTGCCAAGTCGAGGATACCCTCGTGTCCTGTGTCTCGCGACCCATGCCTACTGCATTCCTGTGGCAATGTGGCCTTCAGAAGGGTCTTGTGTCCTCTCGCGTGTCCTGTCCAATCAAGGCATACTGTAGTCTTCGGAAGTCGTCGAACACATGGCGAAATCCGAGCCCTACAGTCAAGGCCGCATAGCAAGGCTGAGCGGCTCTCCAAGGGCACCCCAGCATCTTTCCCCTTCGGCCAGTCCTTGGCCGCTCGCGCTGGCCGCGCACCGCTCGCAAAGTGTCGACATGGCCTTTCCAAAGCCTGACCCCCGCCTCCCATCGACTCAGGAGGATCGCTGTTGGTGGGGTCGGGTTTGGACGTCTCCGCCTGCGTGGGTTCCTGGTTGGAGCTGGCCGGGGACTTGAGGTGGCCCAGCACTGCTTTCGACCAGCAGGAAGAGGGGGCAGGTTCGAGGTTCCGGGTTCGAGAATTTTGCTCTGCCTCCAATCGGTTCAGGAGAATCGGTGGTTGGCGGGGGTAGGATTCGGATGCCTTCTGCCCGAGGAGGAAGAGGAAGAGGAGGAGGAGGAGGAGGAGGAGGAGGAGGAGGAGGAGGTGGAGGAGGAGGAGGAGGAGGAGGAGAGAGGAGGAGGAGGAGGGGGGAGGGAGGAGGAGGAGGGAGGAGGGGAGGAGGAGGAGGAGGAGGGAGGAGGGGGGGGGAGGGAGGAGGGAGGGAGGAGGGAGGGAGGAGGGCGGAGGGAGGAGGAGCGGAGGGAGGAGGGGGATGGAGAGGAGGAGGGAGGAGGAGGAGGGAAGAGGGAGGAGGGAGGAAGGCGGAGGGAGAGTGGGATGAGGGAGGAGGGAGGAGGGGAGAGAGGGTGGAGGGAGGAGGGGGAGGAGAGGGAGGGAGGGAGAGAGGGAGGGAGGGAGGCAGAGGGGAGGGAGGGAGGGAGGGAGGAGGCAGGAGGGGAGGAGGAGGAGGAGGAGGAGGAGGAGGAGGAGGAGGAGGAGGAGGAGGAGGAGGAGGAGGAGGAGGAGGAGGGGAGGAGGAGGAGGAGGAGGAGGAGGGAGGAGGGAGGAGGAGGAGGAGGAGGAGGGGAGGAGGGGGAAGGCGAAGGGCGGAGGGAGGAGGCGGAGGGAGGAGGGGGGATGGAGAGGGAGGAGGGAGGAGGGAGGGAGGGAAGAGGGAGGAGGAGGAAGGCGGGGGAGAGGATGGGAGGAGGGAGGAGGGAGAGAGGGAGGAGGGAGGAGGGGAGAGAGGGAGAGAGGGAGAGGGAGGGAGAGAGGAAGAGGGAGGGAGGCAGAGAGGGAGGGGAGGGAGGGAGGGAGGGAGGAGGGAGGGAGGAGGGAGAGAGGGAGGCAGGAGGGAGAGAGGGAGAGAGGGAGGCAGGGAGGAAGGAGGGAGGGAGAGATGGCGGAGGGAGGGAGGGAGGGCGGGCGGGCGGGCGAGGGCGGCCCTCCCAGCGCAGCGCCTGCCCGCCCGTTGGCAGCCACAGTTCCAGTGCCCCACCCTCGCCCGCGCGCAGGTCGGGAGCGAAGGAGGGACGCACACGTGCAGGAGTCCACGCTGGCTTCGATCATCGAGGGCCAAAGCGCCTCTAACCTGAAGTCGGGCCTGTCCCCCTTCAGGGGGATTCTCGACGAAAAATAAGAAATACCCCAAGAATGGTCCAAGAATAATCCAAAAATAGTCTGGGGACTATTGTTTGAGTATTTTTTGACCTTTTCGGTGTATTTTTTTAGGGTATGTTTTTTTTTTCGTCGAAAATCCCCCTGTACAGGGACACGCCCGACAGAACTCTAAGCCCAATAACGCGAGGAACACGTGGCCTCACTGAGGCCCACGTCTTCGCACCAGGGACACCAATTCTGGGCGGTCTGGTTCGGCACATCTGCAGAAGAGGCCCCCTATCCCTCATGTTTCTGGCACTCCTAACTTAGGACCCTCCCGAGAGGAAGCATTGCGCGAACCTTCGTACATAGTACGCGGCAGGTACCGCGGACCGGAGGGCCGTGTTCATACGCGTGGGTGGGCGCGCACGTCACGTCCTCTGTGGGCTCCCCAGCAGAGCAGGGAGGGGGGAAGGTTTCGCTGATGAAGCTCGGGTTGGGTGGAGGCCCAGCCGAGTTTGTTTATGTTTTGGCTTCTGGACTATGAGACCGCGGAGGCACTCTTGCGAGTCGGGATGCAGGAGGATCATCTGTATCTGGCCGTCCGCCTTTAACTGAGGCCCCCGTATGAGCAGTCCGCCTCTTTCGCTCTGTGAGTGTTGGGTGGCATGGCCCAGAGAAGGAGCACGCCTGCTCCTTAGAAGGCGCGGGCCTTCTCTGTAGATGTAATTGAGGCCGGCACCTTCTGAGAAGCAGCCTCAGTAGCGCTCCCCCCTCCCCCTACCCCCTTGTGCATGCCGCCAATGTTGGCAACCATACGTAAAACGCAGCTCCCTGCAGGTCAGATTTCAGAAACGTCGGCCGGGGTTCAGGCTGCCAAGGATGAAGCGAACCCCTGGCAGGGGTGTGTCCCATGCCCCAGCGTCGATGCTATCCGCAGGGGCGGAGCTCGCGTGTGGTCGCATGTGCTCGGACGGGGCTAGGACGAGGATAATCCGTTCAAGAGCGCACCGGAACGCTCTCAGAGCGTTCCGGCACGCTCTGAGAAGGCCTTGGCGCCCGAGACATTTTCCAGAGCTCTCGGATCGATTTACCTAGGGGAACGAAGAATGACATAAACACAAAAACTCGGGGGTCCGCGCGGATTTCTCGGATCGGCGCTGGATCCCCCTCCTTGGCTCACGGAGCGCGCCAGGGGCGGCGCCGGAGGCGCCGCCAGGGGGGTCCAGGGCGGATCCGAGAATTCCACGCAGACCTCCTAGTTTTTATGTTTATGTCTTTGTTTGTTCCCTTACTCAGAGATTCTCGATTTACCCTCACCCGATTTTGTCCCGGTCTTGACTGCACCCGAATCTTCGAGGCTCGGCATCGCCTCCATGCTCCTCGGCGCCTCCTGGCGCGACAGTGGCGCCTTCCGGCGCCGCGGCCGCCTGCGATGCGCGCGCGGTGCCCGGCTGGCGAGCGGCGGCGGTCTGGCGAGCGGCGGCGGCGGCGGCGGCGACGACGACGACGACGACGGCGGACGAAAACGACGACAGACAACAGACGACGACGACGACGACGACGACGACGACGACGACGACGACGACGACGACGATCCCAGAAGCCTCGACCCCGCCTCAGTGGACGGCGCTCCCTCTCCGATCCAGTCCCGCAGGCCCCGCGGGCCCAGCGTCGCCCCCACCAGCGGAGGCCGCAGCGGGAGCCTCGAGCGTCCGCTGCTGCCTCGGGGGGCCCCGCCCGGTCCTCGACCGGTGGGCACGCCGCGCGGTGCGCCCGGAGGTGGCCTCCGGGCGGGCCTTCCCCGAGCGCTTCCCGCTGCGCGACCCGGCGCACCGGGACGCGAGCGCCCTCGGGCGGGGGGGCTGAGGAGCACTCTGGGATTGAGTCGGGCCTGTCCCCCTGCAGGGGGATTTTCGGCGAAACATTTCAAAAAATACCCCAGAAATGCCCCAAAAAGGTAAACAAATATTTTTTAAAATAGTCCCCAGACAATTTCTTAAAAAATAGTCCCCAGAGTAGCGGTATCCGTACTGTTTGGTTTCCCCAGAGTGTCGAGGGGCGAGGGTCGAGGGCGAGGAAGAAGAGGAGGAGGAGGAGGAGGAGGAGGACAAGCTAGGTGCGCTCGAGTCATATCTGACGTCCTATCCCTCCGTCCCATCCCTTACCATGGAGTAGATCTCCTCTCTATTCGCACAGTCGCACGTCGAGCAGGGCAATGATCTCGCGAGGGTGCGCGATGTATCGTAGAGCACGGCGTAAGAGGGCGTAGAAGAGCACGGCAGAGCGTAGTATGTCATAGCATGGCGTGGCGTTGCGTAGTGAAGAAATACATCACAAAGCATTGCAACGCAAATAATGGCATCGCACAGCGGCACAGACCAGACCATGGCATAGCATGGCGTTGAAGATCAAAGCGTAGCATGGTATAGCATGGCGTGGCATTGCGTAGTCCAAGCATTGCATATCCTAGCATTGAGGCCAGCGTTGCAGCGGGAGCACGATCTGGAACGAGCGGAAGCGCGGAAATGAGGCCAGCGCTTCAGCGGGAGCACGGTTCATAACGAGCAGAAGCCCGAAAATGAGGCCAGCGCTTCAGCGGGAGCAACATTTTGAAAATAAAACCCAAGCGAAAACCCAATCACGGGAATCTTGTGTCTAAAAAACAATACGCGGAGGGGGGCCGAACATATTCCGGACGTCATCAGGAGAGAGAGGAGAGTCGTATTCATATTGTGCAATTATGGAGGAGGAGGAGAAGAAGGAGGGAGGAGTGAGGATAGAGGAGCGAGGATTGAGGAGTGTGAAGTGGAGGAGAAAGAGGAGGGTGAGGAGGAGGAGGGTGGCCACGTGAGGATGACTGCATGGCCGAGAGAGATAGAGAGAAGGGGAGAAAAAGAGACACAAAACAAGACAGGAGAAGGAGGAGGAGGAGGAGGAGGAGGAGGAGGAGTAGGAGGAGTAGGAGGAGTATCGCCCTCTCGTGCACGTCGTCCTCCGCCTCCTCTGAGACGCTCCTGCTCCGAGCACCCCGAGGGGCCAGTCGACAGACCCGCCGAGCCCCTGCCGACCAGGGCGGCGCACGAAATCCTGCATTCTCCTTGCCCCTCCCCCCTCCTCTCCTCCTCCTCTCCTCCCTCCTCCCCCTCCTCACTCCTCATCTCCTTCCTCCTCCTCCTCCCTCCTCCTCTCCTCCTCTCCTCCTCTCTCCTCCTCCTCTCCTCCTCTCCCCCTCCTCCTCCTCTCCTCCTCCCACCTACTTCTCCTCCTCTCCTCTCCTCTCTCTCCTCCTCTCCTCCTCCTCCTTCCCTCCTCTCTCCTCCTCCTCCTCCTCCTCCCTCCTCCTCCCATCCTCCCCTGTGCTCCTCCTCCCGCCCGAGGCACGCCCGCCGCGCCCGCGCCCTGGCCGACCCGCGAACCGCCCGCCCGCCGCCCGCCTGCCCGCCCTCCCTCCCTCCCTCCCTCGAGATCGAGGATCCCTCCTCATGGGTGCCACGTGCGTCGGCGGTGCAGCTCGTGCCCGCGGGCGGCGCAGGCCGTGCCGCGGGCAGGGCGCTCCCTTCGCGCGCTCCCCGCGGCGGCGGCCCGCCCTCGGACGGCCGCTCTCCTGCTTGTGGGGGCCCGCGGGGCAGCTCCCCCGCGGCAGAGGAGACATCACGGGCGTGCGACGCCCCAGGGAGCTCCCCGGGCTCGTGTGCCCCCCAGGGAGCTCCTCATCGGGGCACGACAGGGGGGACGCCCCAGAGCCCCCCTCGCGCTGGGAACAGAATTCACGACGGGAGGGTCTTTTCGCTGGCCTCGGCCTCCCGGGGGGGCCCTTTGCCGGGCCTCGGCACCGTCGAGCAGCGAGTGAGGAGGAGACACTGGTCCCGGGGGGGTGGGGTCCGGACCTCTGGGGGGGTCGCGTCGTGAGAAATTCATGACGTCGGGGGTTTGGGGCTGTCGGCCCTCTCTCTCTCTCTCTCGGACTCCAGAGCCCCCCCCCCAGGGGTCAGAAGCCTCCAGGTTGTCGACGCTCCGCGTGTCTCACCAGCCTGCTCAGAAAGCACTTTCCGAGGCGAGGTGTCGCGAGGTGGAAGTTGAGGTTTAGCGGGGTGGAATTGAGGGGGAGGGATGGTGGGGGCAGGAGGGGGGAGGGGAGGAGGAGGAGGAGAGGAGGAGGTGGAGGTGGAGAGGAGGAGGAGGATGGAGGAGGAGAGGAGGAGGGAGGAGGGAGGAGGAGGAGGGAGAGGAGGAGGGAGGAGGGAGGTCGGGAGGAGGAGGGAGGAGGGAGGAGGGAGGAGGGAGGAGGGAGAGGGGAGGAAGGGAGGAGAGGAGGAGGGAGGAGGAGGAGGAGGAGGAGGAGGAGGAGGAGGAGGAGGAGGAGGAGGAGGAGGAGGAGGAGGAGGAGGAGGAGGAGGAGGAGGAGGAGGAGGAGGGAGGAGGAGGAGGAGGGAGGAGGGAGGAGGGAGGAGGGAGGAGGGAGGAGGAGGGAGGAGGAGGAGGAGGAGGAGGGAGGAGGAGGAGGAGGAGGAGGAGAGGAGGAGGAGGAGGAGGAGGAGGAGGCGGAGGAGGAGGAGGAGGAGGAGGAGGACGACGATGACGCGGGAAACGGGTGAGGGCTGGAGGATGAGGAGGACGAACAGGACGAGGGACGAGGGAGGAGGAGTAGGAGGAGGAGGAGGAGAAGGAGGAGTGTTTAGGAGCATTTCGCAGGGGCATTGCAGAAACTTGCAGAGTGTTGCAGCAGCGTTCAGAGGTTCGGAGAGTCACTCCAGGGTATTGCATGGTCGCTTTGCAAGGGCCTGCATCGTACTGCCACGGTCGGATCTTGATGTCCAACGGCTCGGAGCATACTCACAGACGGATGTCTTTCGCCGTTTTCGGCCTTAGGGGGCCCTCGTCGGGCCCCGAGACCGTGAGAAACTTGCTTAGGATGACAAGCCCCTCCTGCCCCGCCCTGGCTCCACAAAGAGGGCGCCCCCGCCCTGATGCGGACAGATCTGCGATTAGCCCCCAGTAGCAAATCCTTGCGTTCCTCTGGGCGGGGTGGGCTATCAGGCCCCTGTCGGCGACGAGTGGGCGATTGGGGTATCGATACATACCTGCCTGGACCTTTTTCCCCCCGAAAAGTTGCCCCCGATCACTGTGCGTCCCATCCTGCCCCGCCCCTGCGGGCAAGATGTACATACACATCCACTGCATCTCGAAGCTTCGGGCTCACCTGCCCAGACAGCGGAGGCGCAGTGGACACGGGTCCACCCTCTTGCCCCCGGAGGCTAGCTGGCTGTCCACCTCCGCTGCGCCCCGGCCACGCGTGACGCCTCTTCCCAGAGAGTCCATAGAACCATCGATATAACCATAACTGTCGATATACATATAACTATCGTCCAAAGACGCAGTGGACTAGAACTATCGATATACCTATAACTGTAACTATCGATATAACTATAACCATAACTCTTGCCTGCAGCCCCAGCTCCAACACACTGGGCGCCCAAGAGCCCCCGCGCGGCGCGGCCACCGGCGGGCCCGAGGACCGCTACCGCCGCTCGGCGTACATGGCGGGCGGCGGGCACTTCGCAACGGCGGCGACGGAGGAGGCGCGCGCGCCTCTCCTCGCTGCTCCCCCCCCCCCTTGGCATCGCTCGGACGTGTGCATTTTTCCTTTGGCGAGGACCATCGAGGAGCACACTTCATCCTTTGGCGAAGAAGCCACGCACGACACCGGAAGAAGCACAGGGAATGGACGTCCGAGCGATGGCCAGCCCCCCTATCCTCCCCCTCTCCTGCTCCCCCCTTCCCCGTCGCCGTCGCCGTCGCCTCCTCGCTTCTCCCCCCTCCTCCTCCTCCTCTCCTCCCCCTCCTCCTCCTCCTCCATTTCCTCCTCCATTCCCTCCTCCATTTCCTCCTCCCTTTCCTCCTCCCTTTCCTCCTCCTCCTCCTCCTCCTCCTCCTCCTCCTCCTCCTCCTCCTCCTCCTCCCCTTCCCTCGGGGGAACGAGCAATGACATAAAAGCATCACAACTCTCAAAGGTCCGCGCGGATTCCTCGGATCCGCGCTGGACTCCCCTGGCGGCGCCTCCAGCGCCGCTCCCTGGCGCGCTCTGCGCGCCAGGGAGGGGGGTCCAGCGCGAATCCAAGAAATCCGCGCGGACCTCCGAGTTTTTATGTTTTTATGTCATGTTTCGTGCCCCTATCCCCCCCCCCTGTCCTACTCCCCCCTCCCCGTCGCCGTCGCCGTCGCCTTCTCAGCCGCGTCCTCGCCTTCTTCTGCCTGCGCCTCCCCGCCCTCTGCACCCTCCTCCCCTCCCCGGTGTCGTGGCCGTCCCACCCCAAGTTTGTGCCATCCGATTGAGAGAGAGAGAGAGAGAGACAGCACGCTGCGTGTTCCCAGCGGAGCGCTTCGATGGAATGACACCCTCTCGGCAGAAGACCCTAAACAGACTTCCAGAGGAGCCTTGCAGTCCACCTCCCGGTCCTTGAGCTTACCCCTACCACCGCGAGTGCTACTACTACGGCAAGCGCTTATCATGGTGTTGCCACCACTTTCACGAACTGCCAGCGGTCAGCTATTGACTAGTTACTGCTAGAATTGCTGATTCTACGAATTGCGAGCGCGATGGCTAACCAGCACCATAATTAATACGAAGACCACTACCACTACGACTACATCACGAGCACTGATACATATAATGGCGAATTGGGCTCGGGGGCCGAGGGCCGGAACCTCGACCGCAACTGTGGGGACCAGGGCCCGGGCCCGCCTCTGGGAGGCTTAAAATCGCCCCGGGGAGCCCTCAGACAGCATACCTGGCGGACCCAGGCGGTCTCGAGACACCCCCAATATGCCGTCCAGGGGTCTCTGGCGACGCACGATGCGTTTTCAACTGCCCTGGAGGCCCCCAAGACGCCCCAAGAGGCCTTTGGGATGCCGCCCAAGAGCGCCCCGAGAGGGCAAAATTGTTGATTTTCATTGGTTTCTGGCGCAAAAGCACCGCCCAAAATGCTCCCCAAACCGCTCCAAGACGGCCCAAGAGGCCCCCAAGAGGGCCCCAAGACGGCCCAAGAGAGCCCCGAGACGGCCCCAGAGCCGGCCAAGACGGCGCAAGAGGGTCCCAAGAAGGCCCCAAGAGGGGCCCAAGAGAGGGAACGCGAACTGAAAAATCAAGCTCTCCGCCCCAAGATGTCCCCCAGAGGCGCCAAGATGCCCCCAGGAAGCCCCCAAAAGGCCCCAAGAGGCCCCCAAAAGGCCCCCAGAAGCCCCCAAGAAGCCCAAAAGAGGCTCCAAGGGGCCCCAAGACGGCACCCAAAAGGCTTCAAAATTCTGTCTAAGAGGCCCCAGAAGACATGCCAAGAAGGTCCCACGACGACTTCAAGAAGCAGTCCAGGATGCTCCGAGGATGCCCCAAGAAGCTAGCTAGAACTTGAGCGCGCGCGAGGCGCGCTCGATGGTTCTAGTCTATATATATATATACACACATATATACATACATACATACATACATACATACATACATACATACATACATACATACATACATACATACATACATACATACGTGGTACGTGGTGCAATTGACTTTGACTTCCTCGTGCGTGACCAGCTCCCACGCTTGCGCAAACATCCCACCCACCCACCCGCAACTCGGTTTGCAAAACCCATGAGGCGGCGACTGCGATGGCTGCTTGGCGCTGGCTGGTGCATCGCTGCGGCCGCGCTAGCGAGAGGCGCTAACCGTTGCGCACTTTTTAGCGCATCTCCCAGGCCGCGCTGACGCGCGGGCAAATCAATGCGAGTCGGTGATTGAGGCGGGCGCGGTATCATGGCGACGTCGACACCTGCAGGCACGGAAATGACGACGGCAAGGACAATGGCGGCGCCGATATTGATCACGCCGATAACAAAGATGGCGTCGTCGCGTCGGTGATGAAGGTGTTGGAAGAAGTTCGACATGCGCGCGGTCGACGCGCGCGCGAGTGGCCCGCATGGCATCACTTGGCAGGGAAAGCTGCCCCCCCCCAGCGCGCAACGGCGTCCGAATGATTTCGCCCTGCGCGCGTGAAGCACGTTTGATAGCGTGCGATAGCGACTGGTAAAACAATCTGGTAGTTTTTTTCCTGGAGAAGTCGCAAGAACCCGAGCGCAGGTACGTTTGAGGACGCACGTTGCGAAACCATTGGTTTTACGTGGTTCAAGGCCACGTGTCCGGGACATATGCTACTGATGTCCTTACGAAGCGTCGGATTGTTGAAGGATCCCTGCATGCGCAAGCAACGACGCGCGCGTGCATATCGCCCTGTTGGTTGCAAGTTGTTTTCGCGACAGAACTCCCGCAAGGGCGTTCGAACGATTTCGACATGCGCGCGCGGAGCACGTGTGGCAGCATTTTTTCATGTAAAAGCGCATCGGTGGCCCTGGGGTTTGCAAGAGCGCTAATGCAAGCTGTGTCGAAAAATCACTCAGCGATACGATTGTTTTCCCCACATCCTAAGTGGGGTTTTTGTTTTCTCTGCACACCCTCCGCGCAGGATCTCCTCATCCTCCCTCTCCGCAGCTTCTCTTTGCTTCCTCCTCCGCATCATCATCACCATCATCATCACTCCCCAGTCATCATCATCATCACCATTCGCATCACCATCACCATCCCACGATCACTCACCATCATCGGCATCGAACGATCATCATCATCATCATCATCATCATCATCATCATCACGACTCGCTGACTTGAGGCCTGAATATGCAGGAAGTATCCGGCGGGAGCCTCGGCTGTGAGTGAATTGTGAGGAAGTCTCAGGCGGGAGCCCCCTCCCTATGGGGCCCGCAGATCACGTTATTAATCCGAGCGGGTCATCGGATTCCTGTAACTGTCGTCACTTTTGGGCTCCTCAGGTTTGAATTTGGAGGAAGTATCAAGCGGGAACCTCGTCTGTGAGTGAATTGCGAGGAAGTCTCAGGCGGGAGCCCCCACCCTATGGGGCCCGCAGATCATGATACTAATCGGAGCGGGCCACCGGATTCCTGTAATTGTCGTCACTTTTGGGCTCTTCAGGTTTGAATTTGGAGGAAGTATCAGGCGGGAGCTTCGTTTGTCAGTGAATTGCGAGCAAGTCTCAGGCGGGAACCCCCTCCCTATGGGGCCAGCAGATCACGTTATTAATCCAAGCGGGTCATCGGATTCTTGTAACTGTCTTCACTTTTGGGCTAGGTCTGAATTTGGAAGAAGTATCAAGCGGGACCCTCGTCTGTGAGTGAATAGCGAGGAAGTCTCAGGCGGGAGCCCCCCCCCTATGGGGCCCGCAGATCATGTTACTAATCCGAGCGGGTCATCGGATTTCTGTAACTGTCGTCACTTTTGGGTTCCTCAGGTCTGAATTTGGAGGAAGTGTCAAGCGGGAGCCTCGTTTGTCAGTGAATTGCGAGCAAGTTTCGTTATGGGGCCCGCAGATCATGTTATTAATCCGAGCGGGTCATCGGATTCCTGTAACTGTCGTCATTGTTGGGCTCCTCAGGTCTGAATTTGGAGGAAGTATCAAGCAGGAGCCTCGTCTGTGAGTGAATTGTGAGGAAGTCTCCGGCGGGAGCCCCCTCCTTATGGGGCCCGCAGATCATGTTACTAATCCGAGCGGGTCATCGAATTCTTGTAACTGTCGTCACTTTTGGGATCCTCAGGTTTGAACTTGGAGGAAGTATCAAGCGGGAGCCTCGTCTGTGAGTGAATTGCGAGGAAGTCTCAGGCGGGAGCCCCCTCCCTATGGGGCCCGCAGATCATGTTATTAATTCAAGCGGGTCATCGGATTCCTGTAATTGTCGTCACTTTTGGGGTCCTCACGTCTGAATTCGGAGGATGTATCAGGCGGGAGCCTCGTTTGTCAGTGAATTGCGAGCAAGTCTCAGGCGGGAGCCCCCTCCCTATGGGGCCCGCAGATCATGTTACTAATCCGAGCGGGTCATCGGATTCCTGTAACTGTCGTTCTTTTTGGGCTCCTCAGGTCTGAATTTGGAAGAAGTATCAAGCGGGACCCTCGTCTGTGAGTGAATTGTGAGGACGCGTCAAGCGGGAGCCTCCCTATGGGTCCCGCAGCTCACGTGGTTCCTCCGGGTCATCCTCCGGCGCGCGCTTCCTCTGGGTCGTCCTCCGGCGCGTATCGGCTGGGACGCACGTCGTGCGCTTCCTCTGGGTCGTGTTCCGCACGAGGACGAGGAGGATGAGAATTGCCAGGGAAAGGAGGAGGGATGATGCAGGACGAGACAGGAAAGCAGGAAGAGGAAGAGGCTGAGGGGAGGAAGGACGAGGAGGAAAAGGAGGAGGAGGAATGCCCGAGGAGGCCCCAGTAGGTCCCGGAAGGCCCAGAAGGCTCCAGGAGGCCCCAAGAGGCCCCAGGAGGCCCCAGGAGGGGGCAGGAGGCCTAAGGAGGAGGCAGGAGGAGGAGGAGGAGGAGGAGGAGGAGGGGGGGGGAGGAGGGGGGAGGAATATGGAAACGAGGAGGAGGAGAGGAGGAGGAGGAGGAGGAGGAGGAGGAGGAGGAAGCGGATGAGGGAGAGGGAGAGGAGGAGGACAGGGGATGAGGAGGAGGAGGAGGCGGAGAAGGGAGATGGAGAGCAGGAGGAGGAGGCAGGAGGCAGGAGGGGCAGGGGGAATGGGGGGGAGGAGGCATAACGAGGGGGAGGGGGAGGAGGTGGAGGAGGCAAGAAGAGGAGGAAGAGGCAGGGGTTGAGGCAGGAGGAGGAGCAGACAGGAGGAGAACGAGGAGGCAAGAGTAGGTGGGAGAAGGGAAGGGGCAGGAGGATACCCCCATGCAAGCTAAAGAGATTCTCGTGCGGGGTCCTTCCGTCGGAGTAATTGTTTGCTTCGAGGCACCCGATGTCGAAATCCGTGCGACACCTACGAATGCTGAAGGATTCCGGGATGCGCGCGCAACGACGCGCGCGACGTGTGCACTTCGTACCGTCTTCTTCCCCGTGAAGGACTCTGGAAACCCATGTTTGAAGATGATGCATATGGTATCACAAGAGTTCGTTGAATCATCTTGGGAATGGGCGTTGCGCCTTTTCGTTTTGCCCGCGCTCCACGACGGCCCAAACGGCACCCAAAACTGCCCCAATACGGCCCAAGACGCTTCCAAGAGGGACCCAAAACGGCCCCAGAGGGCCCGAAGACAGCCCAAGGGCCCTCCAAGACGGCCCAACAGGCCCCCAAGAAAGCTCCAACAGCGGGCCCTGACGAGGCAACCGAACGGACATTTCAGCTCTCGGCCCCGAGAGGCCCCCCAAAGGCCCCAAGAAGCCCCCAACAGGCCCGGAAGAGGCCCCACGCGGCGCCCCAAAGGCCCCCAAGATGCCCCAGGAGGTCCCATAAATATTGCCAAGAGGCCGCCGAGAGGCTTCCCAAGAGACCCCAAGCAGCCTCCCAAACAGGCGTTTTGTCCACGATCAAGTTTGTCCCCAAATGCCCCAAGAAGCGATCGAAAGGCCTCCTCCTCATGCTCATCTTTGCCCTCCTACTCCTCTTCCTCCTCGTCCTCCTCTTCCTCGCTCGCCACGAGCATCCCTGACGGTTCTGACCCACAACGCGCGCACAACGGTGGGAGGATTCCAGGCGCTCCTCAACCCGCCCAAGATGCGTCCCAGATGCTTGAGATGGCCGAAGGTGCCTCCAAGACAGCCGAAGAGGCCCCAAAGAAGTCCCCAAGAGCGCTCCAGGTCCCCCGAGAGGTCCCACAGATACAATTCTGTGATCTTGATTGTGCTCTTCAGTGTCTTTCACGCTGGTGCCTTCTCGAGCATCCGACGCTCCAACACGACCCCAGGGGCCCCCAAGACCGCCCCGAGACGGCCCAAGAGGCCCCCAAGAAAATCCCCAGAGAGCCCCAAAACGGCTTCAAAAAGGGCCCACGAGGGGGAACACGAACCGACAATTCTAGCCTTGCGCCCAAAGAGACCCCCAGGAAACCCCAAAAGGCTTCCAAGGCGCGCAATATGGGCCGGCGGAATGAGCGAAGCGATCCGCCGCCCCACCTGGTACGGCCTGTGAGATCCCCGCCGCATGGTCTGCACGAGTTCTTTCCCCTCAGTCCCTTGCCCACGCACTCCTCGTACCCATGCCCTTCTTCAGAGCCCTGGCAACCTCTCCAGGGGTCTTCCCCGCGGCCTGCTCATTCTGCCGGCCCGGGGGCCCGGGCTGCGGCCGGGGCGCCTTCTTGCCACCACCTCCGTCCCAAAACGACGTCCGCTTCGCGCGTTCGGCTTGCGAGCGCCAGCAGCCCTCTCAGACACCTCTCCAGGAGCCTACTGGGCCGGTTTTGGGAGCCTTTCGGGGCTCTTTCTGGGCTGATCTTGACCGCCCTTCGGGCCACCAACGGCCGTCCCGGATGCCTCTCCACCTCCCTTCGAGTGCCATACACCGGACCCCCCCCAAACGCAAACAACATACAAAAGATATCGGATTCTGACGGTTGTGTCCTTATCGGGTTGTTCTTGGCGCCTCTCCTGGAGTTCCCGTGTATCCCTGCGGGCTCTTGCGGCCATCTTGGAATATGCGGATGCTCTTTGCGTTGGGCGCGCCCAGGGGGTCCTTGGAAACCCTTCTGAGACCCCAAGACTAACTGGCGATGTTTGTCTGTTCTGCCTCTACGTATCCCTCTCCGGTGTCGTCCGCAATTTTCCACGCCTTCGGGTGCCCTTGTGGCCTGTTGTTGCAGCGTCTTGGAGTCATCTTCGGCAGTTTTCTGGCGTCTTTGCAGCCCTCAGGGCCCATCTTCCACCTCCCTCTGGGATCATTCCAATTGCCAGTTTGGTCGCGTTCTGGGGAACCCTGTGGGGCCATCTTACACCCCCTGTCGCCCTCTGGGATTATTCCAATTGACCTCCTGTTCCTCCACCCACCCTCTCAAAGTCCCCATTCCCCTCCCGCAAGTCGACGATCCCAAAAAGGTGGGGCGGCGGTGTCTGCCCCCATAACCAGAATAATCAAGCCATGACCTAAGTATAACCCACAAATAACCTACGTAGAACCAAAGCATATCCAAAAATGCCGCTCGCCAGAAGCCGTGCAACATTTTATTCCTGGCACGTTTGCACAACGTGGAATGATGTACCAAGCCAAAGCGACGACGTCAGGGTCGCGCGATTGTGAAAACACCACGCGATATTTCACGCCGCGAATACAACCGCGATCCTTCGCGGCGGAGTCGCGCATTTCCCAGGCCAGGTCAAGCAAACCGACGCATCACATGTTTCAGGAAATCGGAGTTGCGGTAGCATCCAGATGCCATATACAAGAGTCCGCGACAGGTTTTCACATGTAGCCGAGACGTTGCGAGCGCCAAATCACATCCTTGCCTCCCCTTGCGAGTCAGGAAAACCAGGGTTTGCCGGCATTCTGCCCCATCGCCATTGCCGTCTAAACCATAGGCCATATCCTCTGCCACTGCCATGTTGGCTCAAGCAATTGGCCGCTGGGCGTTCTGCGGGCGCGTTTTGAACCGCGCGGGACGTCCAGAATCGAGCGCGGCGCGCGGGCGAGCCCTCTGCTTGGCGTCGCGCCCGCTGTAAGAGCCACGGCCGTGCGCGACGGGCTCTGTTCGGTCGCCTTGCTCAAGCTTTCGGCCATGTCGGCGCGACGGCGCCCGCGCGGCCGTCGCTCGAGGCGATTCCGCGCGGGTTTTAGGGCTTCTGCGCCCTTTGCGCCAACCGCGCGACACCAGCGCCTGAACAGCCTGGGAGGGTTGCAGTTGCTGGGGGAGTCCCGCCGCCTACGAGTCCGCGCTCACCCATTCTGACATGGCCCTGCCCGTGCGGTTTCCTCCGCAGTCGCGTTTATGCTGGGTGCCAAGGTTCCCCATACTTCGACCGCGATAAGTCCAGGCGCCCAAAGCACCCGGATTCACCCCTCCCCGTCCCCCCTCCCAGCAGAAGGAGGAGGAGGAGGAGGAGGAGAAGTTCGGGGAGGAAGGGGAGAAGCAGGAGGAACATGAGGAGGGAATAACAATAACAATAAGAATATTAATACGAATCATTGTATTAGTGATCAGTATGGTAGTAATGGTAATACCAGTAGTAAGTAACATTATTACGAATGAAATGACCAGCAATACTACAAGTACGGAATATAATACTAACAACAACAACAATAATACTATTACTCCTAACGATACGCGTATTAATAATAAGAAAGAGAAGACGAATTTAAATAGTACGAACAATCATAACACGCTTTGGAATTATCAATGATAAGTGGAAACGGAGGACGAGGACGTTCAGGAAGGGGGGGGAGGAGGAGGAGGAGGAGGAGGAGGAGGAGGAGGAGGAGGAGGAGGAGGAGGCGGAGGAGGAAGATGGGGAGGATCGGAGGGGCAGAAGGAGGAGGAAGATGGGGAGGATCGGGGGGGCGAGGATGCCCAGGAGGACGAGGAGTTCGGGGAGGAGGGCCCCCAGAGCCGCCGCGCAGTCGCACCTCAGCGTGCTGTCGGTCCACGGCAGACCCGTGGCCTCCGTCGACCTGCGCGGGCTCGCGTTCGAGGCGCCCAGCACGGGGTGGGAGGGGGCTGGGCATCGCTCGGGCGTGTGCATTTTTCCTTCGGCGAGGACCATCGAGGAGCATCCTTGATCATTTGGCGAAGAAACCACGCACGAAACCGAAAAAAGCACAGGGAATGGACGTCCGAGCGATGGCCAGGGGGCAGAGGATGGCCGACGGGTGCGGGCCCGGGGGCGTCGCTGGGGAGGACAGGTTCGCAGGGCACGGTCCGGGCTCGGGGCTCAGAGGCTTCCGGGCGACGTCTCGGTTCTCGGCGGTTCTGCAGCCTCGGGGTGCTGTCCAGCAGCTGCGCCCCGTCGAGAGCGCTCCGGGGATGCCCCCGGACCGTCCCGAGCGGCCACCGGAGAGCTAATAAGTTATGCCATGGAAAGCCAGGGGCAACATTTGGGCTGGGTAAGGGGGGGAGGGGGGGGGAGGGGGGGGGAGGGGGAGGAGAGGAGGAGAGGTAGCTCGGATAGGGGGATGCGTCGACCCCTGCTCGCCCACTCTTCGCCGATGGGGAACCGATAGCCCACCCCGCCCAGGAGCGTGCAGATTCGCTATGGGGAGCCGATTGACGATCTATCGAAGGCGCACGAACATGGAGGGCCGAGGAAAACGCAAATAGGGATGAAGGCGCGCGAATTAGCGGCGGATCCCGCTTCCATGCGAAGTCGGCGCGCTCGGCTTTTTGAGCGGGCGGCATTGGCCTCATCTTTGTGGGGGTCTTTTCTCCGATCCGTGGATCTCTGACGCCCACGCACCAGATCCACGGATCCGCAATCCACGTTAGCACACGCCCGAGAAGAGGAGAAGGAGGAGGAGGAGGAGCAGGACGAGGAGGAGGAGGCGGAGGCGAAAGAAGAGGAAGAAGAAGGAGGAGGAGGAGGCGCAGGACCAGTGCAAACTTAACACGCAGCAGCGATGATGCAATAAACCGTGTTGCAACAAACCCTCCCTCTAAGTTCCCTCGTCTATGGACCCGTACAAGAATTTATCTTCGTTGCGGGAAGTTGCCCATTAAAAACCGTTTGGCGATCGTCAATCGTGACAAAGCACACCAGTTTGACGTCCACGCCGCGAATAAATGTTACTTTTACGTCCTGACGGTCGTGCCCCGTGCCAGAGTGTCACGAATCAATGATCTTGCTGGGTCCTGAGAAGCCTAAAGCGGACCAGAACGGCACTCCTGGGACTGCGGCCATACGAATCCATAAGACGGTTGGAAGCTTTTAAGACGAATGTGCGAGGCGCCCAGGCGAGAGCTACACTTTGAAAAGGAACCGCCTTCACTCCGCGAGCCTCATGCTGATTTCAGGACGAAGGTGCGCGGCGCTGAGGCTAGAGCCACATTTTGAAAATGGCCCGCCCTGTATCCTGGTAATTGTTGGACGTTGTCAGGACTAATGTCCGCGGCGCTGAGGCGAGAACCACATGTTGAAAACGACCGGCCATCTCTCCTGGAACCTGCTGCAAATTGTTAGAACGAATGCGCGCGGCGCTAATGCGAGAGCCACATGTTGAAAACCACCAGCCCTCAACCCGTGAGCCTGTTACAATTTTCAAGCTTCAGCATCAAGCACTGCGAGGGAGTCCCAGGCGGAACGCCGAGCCCACCCTACCGAACGCCTGGGGAGTAGACAGGGAGGAGCTGCTTCTAAGGAAAAGGGGTGGGGGTGGAGGAGGGGGAGACGGGGGATGACGAGGAGGGGGAGGAGGAGGAGGAGGAGGAGGAGGAGGAGGAGGAGGAGGAGGAGGAGGAGGAGGAGGAGGAGGAGGAAGAAGAGGAGGAGGAGGAGGAAGATGAGGAGGAGTAGGAAGAGGAGGAGGAGGAGCGAGGTTTGTCCAGGCCTTGCCACTGGGGTCCGAGCGGATGGGGCCGGGGAATCTCACCGCATCGCCGAGGAGCCCGATCATTTCCACGCCGACGGCGCCGATGCATCGGCGATGCATTGGCGACGTGGTGCGATCCTGCGACCCCGCCTAATAAGCTGATTCCAGTTGAACGACGCAGAACAACGGGTTCTTCTCCACCGACGTTGGTGCGCAAGCTGCCCGCGTAAGGTCGCGCGTAAGCGCCCTCGTTTCCAATGTGGCGTACCGCGCTGGCGGCCCGCGTAAGTCGCGGCGTAAGGTCGCTACAGTCGGCCTTGATTAGTAGGTCGACCCGGCCAAGTCGAGGGCATCCTTGTGCCATTTGTCTCGTGACCCATGCCTTCCACATTCCTGCGGCAATGCAGCCCTCGGAAGGGTCTTGTGTCCTCTCGCGTGCCCTCTCCAACCAAACCCAACTGTATGCCGTCTCGCGTGCGACCCGTTCCTTCTCGTCGCCCACTTGAAAGCCACCCAGCTCGACGATCGAGCCCGGGGTGCTCGGGGCGCTCCTCGAGGCACCTCACGTGGGCCTCTGGAAGGCCTCTCGTCGCCGCGGCGCTGCTTTTGTTCTGGAGAGGTTCTGGCCAGGGCGCACCCCGATAGAGGCCACCGGGGGGCAGAGCTTTGAGGGCGGAGGGGTGAGGAGGAGGAGGAGGAGGAGGAGGAGGAGGACGAGGAGGAGGAGGAGGGGGAGGAGGAGGAGGAGGAGGAGGATAAGGAGGAGGAAGAGGAGGAGGAGGGGGAGGAGAAGGAAGGAAGAACGAGAAGGACTAGAAGGAAGAGGAGAGGGAGGAAGAGGAGGAGGAAGAGGAGATTTGTGTTGACGATGTGATGCTGACGATGTGATGCTCCCTCCGTCCTCCCTCCTCCTCCCTGTCTGTCTCAACTTTTCGTTTTTCTGCGTTTCTGTTCTGCTCCCTCCCCCAGAGCTGGCTTTTGCCAGCCCTTGGGGAAGCGGCAGCGTTCGGAGAACACCAGTGCCGACGGGAATCAGGAATCAGGAGAAGGCGGAGAGGGGAGGAGTCGACCACACGTGAGAGTGACTTCTCGCCGGAGGGGCCTTCGGTGCGGGCCCAATGGGGCCCCCAAATCGCTGAGTCTCTGAGTGCGATGCGATAGCAGCGGCTTGCGCGCCTGGTGGTGTCCCCAAACGGCCCCCTTCTTTTGCTGCGCACGAAACGTCACTCTTGCCTAGCCTGGCATCGCTCGGGCGCGCGCATTTTTCTTTCGGCGAGGACCATCGAGGAACATCCTTGATCATTCGGCGAAAAAAACACGCACGAAACCGAAACACGACAGGGAATGGACGTCCGAGCGATGGCCAGCTAGGGTCACTCTTGCGTCAGCCGGAGGAGGAGGAGGGGGAGAAGAAGGACAGACGGAAGTCGACGGTCCCAGGTTGTTTTCAGGCTGCGGCCCCGAGAGGTCCCCGCCCCCTCCCTTGGGGGTGGCATTTTTGATTCCGTGAGTCCATGTCTGGTGAGCCAGAGGGGCCCGAGAAGGGGCCCCGGGCTTCGGGAGGAGTCCAGAGGGGTGAAGGGGGGGGTGAAGGAGGGGGTGAGGGAGGGGTGAGGGGGGGGAGGAGGAGGAGGAGGAGGAGGGAGGAGGAGGAGGAGGAGGAGGAGGAGGAGGAGAGGAGGAGGAGGAGGAGAGGAGGAGGAGGAGGAGGAGGAGGAGGAGGAGGAGGAGGAGGAGGAGGAGGAGGAGGGAGGAGGAGGAGGAGGAGGAGGAGGAGGGGGGTGAGTGGGGGAGGAGTGAGGGGTGAAGGGGGATGAAGGGGGGATGAAAGGGGGGGTGAGGGTGGGGGGGGGAGCAGACTTGGGCCAGGCGAGAGGAGTGTAGGGGGGGGTGAATGGGGGAGGGGTCAGGGACTATGCTAAGAGAGGGGGGACGGGCTCAGGGGAGGATGCCCAGGAGCGAGCGGATCCGCTGTCGGGGGACCATGGCCGATGCATTGGCGACGTGTCGCCGATTCCAGGTCGATGTCCCCCGCCTGAGCCGGTCCCCTCTTTTTCGTTCCCCCTCAAGGCGGGAGGAGGGAGGAGGAAGGAGGAAGATGTTCTGCGACCACTTGCGAACCCCGCCCATGCAGGTTCGATCGACGGGTGTCCGAAGCCCCTGCGGAGGTTCATTTGGCCGCAGCCATCCTTCGACTTCTGACCCCCTGCAATTGTCTCATAAATCAGACCTGAATAGGTCGGTGTCACTTGTGGCTTCCTAGAGGCGGAGGAGGGAGAAGGGAGGGACGGTAGGTAGGGGGCCTGAGGGAGGAGGGAGGAAAGCGTAGGGAATCATGAGGAGGAAGAGGCGGAAGGAGGACATACGATGAAGGTGGACGGATGATGATGATGATGATGATGATGATGATGATGAGGAGGAGGAGGAGGAGGAGGAGGAGGAGGAGGAGGAGGAGGAGGAGGAGGAGGAGGAGGAGGAGGAGGAGGAGGGAGGAGGAGGGAGGAGGAGGGAGGAAGGAGGAGGGTCAACGGAGAGGTACGCGGCGAGGGGGCAGATGAGGGAGGATGGCCCCGCCCCGACAGAGGAGCCCTGGTCGTCCCGCGACGACGGGCAGATGTTTGTCCAGTCGCTCCGCGCCCACCCGGGCTCGCGCCCCCCGCCAACTGGCCGTTGCCGCTGCGATCTGCAGCCACTCGCGCCCGCAAATGCCAGGGGGAAGCGAAGGAGGAGGAGGGAGGAGATGGTCCGCGGCGAGCGAGGGGGGAAAATGAGAAGGAGAAGGCCTTCTCAGAAGGCGGCGGGGCTTCTCAGAAGGCCTACGGCCTTCTGAGAGGTTTGTTGTGTCTTCGGGGAAGGCTCAGAAAGCTTCTCTGAAGGCTGGGGGACTTCCCAGCCTTTTGAGAAGGCCACCCCCTCTCCCCCCCCCTCGCTCGCCGCCAAGGTGGGGCAGGGAGACAAGCTAGTTCAGCTCGCGCCATATCAGACGTCCTCATTCTCCCTCCCATCCCTTTCAATTGCGTTGGGTCCCTCTCTATTCGCAGGCTCGGGCTCCGGGAATACCTTGATCCCGAAGAGGTCCTTAATCCCTGGGGGTCAAGAGCTGGAATGGCATGACGGAGGCGGAGGGGTGGACAGGGAGGACGATGGAAGACGGAGGAGGCAGGAGGTTGGATTGATGGTGACGACAGAGGAGGGACGAAGGATAGCGTCGTTCCGTCGGATGGACGCCATGTAAGCCCTTACACTTGGCGCACGTTGCAGCGGTATCACCGTTTTGGCTGATGCAGGACTACGGCCAGCGCTGCGGCGTGAGTGCGGTTTCGTTGGACGTAAGTTCTATGGAGATCATTGCATATGGCACACACTAAAGTGGGAGCACAAGTGTCGTTGAGGCAGGACACGGCCACCTATGTAACGAGAGTGTCGCCCCCTTCTCATAGATGTGACAAGCCCTACAGCGGGCGCACCGCTTGCACTGATGCAAGCGTGCGGCCAGCTCTTCAGCGAGTACGTCGTTCCAGTTGACGGAGGTTCTATGAGCAATTATCGAAGACGCCTACGGCGAATCACCGCTGCCCCCTGCCGTTTTGGAAGCGCCTGCGTGGCCGAAAGTTGGGTTTGAGCTTGGCCAAGCTATCGGACCACGCGTTCCCCGAGTGGGTTTCGAACGCCTTCGGGGAACACGGAGTCGGGCGAGCTATCGGACCAGGTGGTTTCCGAGCTTTCGGGCCGTCTTGGAGGCATCTTGGAGGCCATCTTGGCCGTCTTCGAGGCCATCTTGGGCGTCTTGGGGGCCTCTTGGGTCGTCTTGGCGTCTTGTTAGGGTCCTTTTGGGGAGCCTCTTGGCCTGTCATGGGGCCATCTTGGAGGCCTCTTGGTCTTGGGCGCTCTTGGGGCGATGTTGGGGGTCTCTTGGGCCGTTTTGGGCCGTCGGAGAGCTGAAAAAACGAAAATGCCAAAATCCTTCAACAACCGGAAGAACATCAATGATTTTGGCCTCTTCGGGCCTTCCTGGTGGAGCTCTTGGAGGCCTCTCGGGGCGTCTTAGAGGCCTCTTGGAGGCCTCTGGAGCCGTCTTGGGCCGTCTTAGAGGTTTCTGGTGCGAACTTGGAGGCATCTTGGACTCTCTTGGGCCGTCCTGGAGGCCATCTTGGACCATCTTGGGCGAACTTGGAGGCCATCTTGGACCAGTTTGGCCATCTTGGACGACATCTGGAGCAGGAAAACCTTTGCAACCAGATTTGTGGCAGTCTTTGCGGTCCTTACGGGACCCCGGCGGGACGGGCCGAAGCCCCAGGGATTGTCTAAAAGAACCAAAAGCGAAAGGATTCAGCACGCCGGGCACCCCTGTGATGAATCAACAGGGGGCGGCGGATGACGGAAAGCGCGCGTTAGCGTGCGGTCCGTTAGTCGGAAGAAATTTGACTTGGGGGAGTTCGAGGGGGTTGGCATCGCGACGCCCGAGATCTAATTGCCCTCCCGCCTCGTTTTTTTTTATCGAGTTCGAGTTGGACGGCCTTCGGGGCTTAAAAACAGCGTTTTGCTCAAGACATCATCGGAGAACGCTTCTTGGGCGCTTCTTTGGCCGTCTTAGGCGCCCAAGACAGCCCAAGAAGCGGCCAAGACGGCGCCCAAGACGGCCCAAGACGGCCCAAGAAGCGCCCAAGACGGCCCAAGAGCGCTCCAAGAGAGCCCAAGACCGCCCAAGGCGGCCCCAAGACGTCCCAAGAGGCCTCCACGACGCCCCAGGAGGCGCCCACGAGGCGTCCCAAGAGGGCCCCAAGAGGCCAAAATCATTGATTTTCTTAAGGAAAACGTGCATTTTTAGCATATACGGCTTTTCGCCTTTCATGGCGTTGAAGACGGTCCAAGAGGCCCCCAAGACCGCCCCAAGACGGCCCAAGATGTTCCCAAGAGGCCCCCAAAATAGCCCAAGAGGGCGCCAAGACGGGCCAAGAGGCGTCCAAGACTGTCCAAGAGGCCCCCAAGAGCGCCCCAAGAAGGCCCAAGAGGCCCCCAAGAAGGCCCCAAAACGGCCCAAGAGGGCGCCAAGACGGCCCAAGAGGCGCCAAGACGGCCCAAGACGGCCCCAGGACGGCCCCAAGAAGGCCCCAAGAGGCCCCCAAGAGAGCCCAAAGACGGCCAAAGGCAGCCTAGTCCCTTCACCCCCGCAGCCCAGAAGCTCCCAGGAGGCCCCAAGAGGCCCCCGAAAAGCCCCAAAAGGTCCCCAAGAGGCACCCAAGAGGCTCCCCAAGAGCCCCCCAAGAGGCCCAAAATACTCCCAAAGGCTCTTAGCACCGCGGCTCCCAAGAGCGAGCGGTGACGTAATCGAGCTGATAAGACCAAAGCTCCCAACAGAGAGCTGCGGCGTAATAAGTTCTTGACGCCAGGGCACAGGGACGGGCGGCAACGCGTGGACAACGAGCGGTCCACGCAAGGAAAACGCGGGGTTCTGGAAAGCTGGCAGCCCAAACGCGGAAAACGCAACGCGCCCCGACCGCCCCCTCCAAAACAAGAAACGCGCTCAAAGAAAGCTCCGCGACTCTCCGAGGCTGAGACAGGACAAGAGCGAGGGGAAGGGCGTCAATAAGAGGTGTAAGAGCGGACGAGCCAGCGATCTCGTGCGCTCTGGAAGTAAGTGCGCTTTCCGTCCCCGTGCCAAGCAGGTCTAATGGCCTTCGGCCCATCTCGCCACCGTGCCCAGGTTTTAGGTATGAAGCCTATGGATGTTCGTTGGAATCTCGTGGGAGGCTTCTCGCAGGCCTTCTGGAGGCAGTTTGGACGCCTGTTGGGGCAGCTTTGGAACTCTTGTGACCGCTTTGGGACCTCTTGGGGGCCTCCTGGGGGCTTCTTGGGGGCCTCTTGGGGCCTCCTGGGCGCGTCTTAGGGCC